ACACAAGTATCTTGTATCTCGTGAGTTTATGTTGCTTTCATTATAACAAGTTCCAAGAGCTCAGGTTCTATTATTAGTATAAAAGTCTACCTTTCAAGGGGGATAAAACCTATAATGTGAGTTCTTATGGGAGACTCATTTTTACTCAAAAGTAACTGTCACTATATTTTGATCCAACACCTTCAGGGAGATTGAATAACCAAAGAGACTGAATAACCAGAGATTCAATAAACTGAGCATAGTAGGAAAACCTCAGAAGTTTCAAATGCTTGATTTCTTTTAGAACTTAATTTTTCTCAAATTTCAAGCTAATTCAAGCTAATTTAAGACAGCTTAATGGAAGAAGCTTATTCATTGTTGACTGAGGGGGAAAAGGTATAAATGATATAAAGTGACACATTACTTTGTAATGAAAGAGGCAGACATAGGCAGCAGCTATTTAGGCTCCTTGCAAACAATTTATCAGAGCCACATACCCACTCCTTGTAGTGTAGGCATTTGCTACCTTGTCAATTCTCTGGAAGATAGTTTCTGGGTGTGGGGAGGCACCCCAGACCATCACACAATAAATAACCACTTAGGCAGGGGAAGGGTATATATTTTAGACCAGATGGGATCTAACTTAGGGGATCTGCCAACCTTTCATTCTACAGGATGCTGAGGCCGTGAATGCAGGTGAATTATTTTCAAATCCACAGTCAGCAGAACCTAGGGACGTCAACTTGGTCATGCATTCTTTCCACTGTCCTTGGGCATCTGTCTTTGGAACATCAAAATTACAGGTCAAGCTCTGAAAAAGAGAACACTCAAGAAACAACACTGAGCCCAAGAGTGCTGAGAATCTGGAACATGTAAGCCGGACATCCTCTGTTATTTATCAGAGCTGCGACACAGTTGGCTAGCTCATGGCTTCAGACAGTTCAACATGTGTTTCCCAATACTGACTGCTATGACTACAGTCCTTTGCGAGAAGGTCCCTATCCAGTTATAAGGACTAAATAGGATTATGGGGATGCACAGCACCAACTCGGTGAAATTTTTAATGCAGCAAGGGGAGTTAAACCATTAGGCTGGGCTTCCCTGATAGTTTAGTTGGTAAAGAATCTGCCTGCAATGCAGGAGACCCCAGTTCGATTCCTGGGTTGGGAAGATCTGCGGGAGAAGGGATAGGCTACCCACTCCAGTATTCTGGCCTAGAGAATTCCATGGACTGTAGAGTCCATGGGGGTCACAAAGAGTTGGACATGACTGAGTGACGTTCACTTCCAAGGTGCCCGCTGGTTAGTGCAGTGCAGGAGGACCAGCCTACACCTGAACAGTTTTTAGTCTCCAGAGGCTCTCAAGGGCAGAAGAAAAAATCTGGGCCATGCAAATTTCTTTTGTCATCTGAGTTCAATGAGCTTGAGGCTCTGAATGAGTGTTCATGTCCAGCTATCTTGAGTCATCATTTTCTATTCTTCACAGCAAATATTTTAGAAAAAAACATTTTAGGAAAAACAGTTATCTCCTAAACTACACATTTCACAGAATGGAAGAGGCAGAGGAGAGAAGAGCTAAACATAATGGTGTAAAAACTTACTATCAGAAAATCTTTATTAAAAATGATGAACTAAGATGAAATAGTCAGTTTTGACGACATGGGTGATACTGATGCAAGTAACTTCACAGATAGCTCATTAGTCCTTCTGCATGATAAAGCTGAACATTTGAGTACACAATTTACCTAAATGTTGAAACTATTTAAACTACTGAATGGCTGGTATTAAGCATCGATGGGTCTTTCTTAAAAACTGCCTTGAAACAGGGTATTCCACTCATTTTGTGGGAAATTCAAGACTCAAAGATCTATTGTCAAAGAGAATGCCACTACGACAAAAGAAGTGCTTAAATTTTCTTCATTTGCAGTGATTTTACTACATTTAAAAATATATAATTTTATTACATTTGAAACAAGTGAGCAATTGGCTATACTAGGGAAACAGTTCTGTTGCAAATATTTGTGTTCTATCACTTTTCATATTGTGGTGTAATTTGGACTGTATACTTATGGTTCCCTCTCCTACAGAAATCAGGGAACAAACAATTAGAAGGATAGTTATCAACCTTCAATTTACAGTTTGAGAATCAGATTCAGTGGACCATGTACGACTTGAGCAATGACAAACTCAGTACACAATATGTGCTTTCAATTAATATGCATAATGGAAATGCTGACCATCTCCCCTAGATGGTATTCATCTTTGGATTACATTCATCTCATGCAGCTAACACTATTAAAATTATTTCAGAAAAGGATATTAAAATTACTGTCCCTTCTCAGACCATACTAGGCAGTTTCCCAAGGGCATGTGAGTAATGAATATTTAAGCAAAAGGCACTGCCTCCATCCTTCCTTGGGGCCACTAGCCTAGCCTGTGAATCAGAAAATTTGTCACTCAGTTTTGAAGTATCTAGGCAAATGTTACTTTTAAGTTTGCAACAGGATAAAGCAATAAAACTTTTAACAATGTATCTTAATTTTAATACTCTGCTGGTTGTCATGCCTCAGATAGCATTTAAGACCAAAACACTCAAATGTGCAGGAGAATTTGTGAAGTCACAAACACACACATATACACACACAGAGAGAAAAGACAGCGTAGCTTTGGCTGAGTCCTCATCTAGCCTAGGGCAGGGAAAACTTTCCGTAACAGTGACTAAACAGAAACCCAACCACTTTAAGGACTCCACGGTGTGGCTACATCTGTTTATTAAACTCAACCCAGTGATCTCTGACAACCTAGAGGGGTGGGATGGGGTGGGAGACAGGAGGGAGGTTCAAAAGGGAGGGGACACACGTATACTTGTAATTGACTGAGGTTGATGTATGGCAGAAACCACCACAATATTGTAAAGTAATTACCCTCCAATAAAAATTTTAAAAAGTGAATTGCAGGTGAACAGACATATACTGCATGTCCTGTATGACAAGGCATGTTGCTTAAGTTTCCTCATGCATAAAACGGACATAGTGCCTTCACAGCGTAAGAACATGATGGGTTACTATAAGAAAAATAGTTGGCTTCAAGTTCAGTTTCCTTCTGCCAAGCCAGTATAGGTATGACTACCATGCAGTATGTGCTATTTGCATTAAGATGCATGAGGGGCTTTCCCTGGAGGTCTGTTTAAGATTTTTCATTTCTTGCAGGGGGTGTGGGTTCGATTCCTGGTGGCGGAACTAAGATCCCACATGCCGCACAGAGCAGCCAAAATTTAAAAAAATTAAATTATAAAAAAGATGCATGACAGCAGGCTGTATATAAACACAGTCAGCACATACTTGGGTTCTGAACTTCATGGGTCATGTTTAATTCTGGATATAGGTTCTCAACTACTAGTAACGATTTCTCTCCTGAAGCGAAAGAAGCCTAAATACTGTAGGAATTCAAGGATCACCCAACATAAGGCCAAACAGTCTGAGTCCAGCATGGTTGGCACTCTAGGCCTAATTTGTAACAGGCCTCAATCGCCGATTCTGTGGCCTCTATCTCCCTAACTAGGAAAGATTAACCTTGAATCACCTCATTACCAACCAATCCTGGAAAACTCTTACCACAGCCCTTCTCAACCTCAGCAGCACATTCAAACCCCCTGAGGAGCTTTTAAAACTCCAGAGGGTCAGACCACACCCCAAACCAATTTACATCCAAATACCTGGGAAGGGGGCCCAGGCACCCTTACTTCTTAAAGTCCCCAGTGATCCAAGATGCAACCAAGGTTGAGAATCACAGTCTCCGGATCACCTCTCCTGACCTCATGGAACTTCTGCTGCAAGGCAAACCAGGAGAGGCAACCTACAGTGTTTCACAAACAGCTTCTGAGCAGACCCGGTACAACAGGGTCCCGAAAGCCGAACCACCGCAGGTGCCCGTTCTGAGCTCCACACAGAGGGATGGACAGACAGCTTATGAGCTAGAGGGTTACCCAGATCCTCACGGGAGAGCCACTTGCACAATGATCGAGCACTTCAAAAGAGCAAATATCGAAAATAAGTTCACCCATCTTGAGAGATGTCACAAAGCCCGTTAGGATTTCTCACTTTTTTTTTTCAACACCTGTCTCTTAGGAAGGCCCGAGTGTCTGTGAACGCACGCCCCGCACACAGAGCCCGCGGAACAGCAGAGAAGCCCACCATCCCCGCGGCCGCCTGGAATCGCCGCCCCTCCGCCCCCGCCGCAGGCTGCCCAGCCGGTGCACCTGTCGCCGGCGGCGCCGCACCTGCCGCGCCCGGCCCTCCTCGCCTACCTTCCAGCAGCTCGTCCAGGCTGGTGACCTTCCGGCTGCCGTCGATGGTGTAGATGGTGCGGACGCCCTGGGGCAGGTTCACGTTGTCCGACAGGGAGCGGGTGAGCTCCATGAGCAGCGCGTCGAAGGACCGGAAGCGGTCGCTGGAGATGGCAAACACCAGGCCCTTGAAGTAGCGGTCCCCGTTCCGGTAGAAGCGCGCCTTCTTGGCCTTCTTCTCCGAGCTCAGGGCCTGCAGGGTCCGCGTGCGGTAGAAGCTGCAGTGGGCGCTGTGCGCCGGGCTGGGGATAAGCCCGTTGCCTTTGGGGCCCGAGCCGCTGCTGCCGGCGGAGGAGCTAGGCGCCCCTCTCCGCGACCCCGGCCGAGGCCGTTTGTCCCGTTCCTCAAAGTGCTCCAGCTCGATACTCCTGGTGCTGGCCATCGCGGCTGCTCCGGGCCGCCTGGCCAAGCACGTCCCAGCCGGAGGCTCCAGGCAGCCCGGGGTCAAGGCGAGATCCGGCTCGGGAGCGTCGGGCTGCGAGAGCGCCTCAGCGCGCCGGGACACCTGGCCCGGACATCCCGCCCCCTCCGCGCAGGTGGAGCCGCGGAGGCCCGCGCCCCCTAAAAGTGGCCGCCGCGCCGAGCTGCCCAGCTCATTGTCCGGCGCGCTCCGCTCGGTTCCTCCCGCCGCCCGGGAGCCGCACGCCCCCCGGGCACCTCCTCCACCCTGTCACGCCTCACCACTCCCGCGCCGGAGTCCGCCGGCCGCCGGCCGCCCGAGGCTCGCCCCAGGTCCGCAGGCGCACACAAAGCTCCTCCGCCCGCCTCTCCCGGGAGCCCAGGGGAAGGGAGGGAGGGGCCGCGAGCGTGGGAGAGGCGCCGCGGGGGCGTCTGCCCGGTCCCCGCCCGCCCGCGCGCCCGGCCCGAGGCCCGGGATGCAGCGCCGCCGCCGCCGCCGCCTCGCTCGCCCCCAGGCCCCGCCCGAGAGCACCGCGCGGAGGCTCGTCCCGCGCAGAGTCCGGCCCTAGCGGGAAACAACGCAGCCCGCCTCCCCCGCAGCCGGCTGGCCCGGCCCACCCACGGGCATCCGCCCCCGGGCCCGACCACTCCGCCTGCCCGGCCCGCTGCAGGGCAGGAGGGGGGCTTCCTGCTCCCCAAGGAATCCCAAACCCCAGAGGGAGGGAGGTGGGCCAGGAGGAGGAGGAGGAGGGGGCCGCACGTGGGGGCGCCGAGGCTCTGCGGCGCCGGAGAAGCGGATCCTCCCGGGTCCTAGGCGGCCCCGCCCGCCTGACGGCCACAACCCCGCGCCGCGCGCTGATGGGCGCAGCCGCGGCGCGCGCTCCTCCGCCTTGGAAACGGAACCGCGCAGGTCAAAAAAACTACAAAGGAAGGAGATTCAAGGGCAGGGATCACATCCCTTAGCCAGCCTCCAAATGAGGAGCCGAGGTCACACTAGGGCACCTGAAACATGGCACTGGATTGGGGCGCACGATTTATTTTTCAAAGGAAATCTGGAGCTTTATTTAAAAATCCTTTGATAAAGCACCTTCTGTTGCAGGTTCGCTAACACGGTACGGTCGGTAACTTTGAATGAATGAAAGGTCAGACTTAATTGTTTCTTGAGGAATTTAATTAACAAACATTTATTAAAGCATGCAACGTTCCAGGCATTGTCTCTTTCACTGGGGATGCATTAGTAAACAATCCCCGCACCCCACCACCTGCATCTAAGTCATACTTATCAATTTGAGCTTCTTGTTAAGTAATATGTCGGTTATTGGTAAGCACCTGTCATAGTGGAAATCTTTATTTAGTAGTGCCTGGTCAACACTAAAAGCATATTTTCCAAAGGCTTGAGAGAAATATTAGTTACTTCCATTTCACTATTAGGAAAAGATGAAACTAAAAGAAATTTGGTGCTAATCTGACAGGTGGGTAAATTACCCTGAGGCCTTAGGTTATTCAGCACCTGGTTCTCTGAGTGGCCCTAGATAGCAAATCCAAACCACCTGTAAGGTTAGAACATGGATGCTTTTCTTGGAATGAATTAAGTCCTGATGGAGCATGAATAAGAAAAGGCAGAAAATATGATGGAGTTTCTCAGTAGCTGTGAAGTTGAACTGGCATGCAGTGCCCCAGAAGCTTCCTTCTTGCTCAGGGCACCATAGTTCCCCCAGGACAGGCTCAGGACACATGTGGGCATACCTGACTTCCAGAACCAGTACTGGGATGCTGGGAAGTCAGGGCTGATCTGTCACTTAAATGTAGTTTTCCAGTGGAGATTGTGAAATTAAGTCCATGGCCATGATAGACCTCAACCCAAGCCAATTAAATCTGAATCTCTGGAGTTGAGCTTCCCAAACAGTAGATTTTAGAAGTACATATAAGGTACAGCCAGGGTTTCCAATGATAGGCTGTAACATCAAGATTCAAACAGATCAGTGTTGATTCTCAAACTTTGATGTACTTACATGTAGTGGGGTAAATCTCATAAAATGTCAGTTCTGAGTCAGTAGGTCTTTGATGAAATTTGAGATTCTGTATTTCTGATAAGTCTCTGTGCATGTGTGCTCCTGTGTGCTCAGTTACCCAGCTGTGTCAGCCTCTTTGCCACCCCATGGACTGTAGCCTGTAAGGCTCTTCTGTCCATGGAATTCTCCAGGCAAGAATACTGGAGTGGGTTGCCATTTCCTACTCCAGGGGATCTGCCTGACCCAGGGATCGAAACTGCATCTCCTGCATTGACTGGCAGATTCTTTACCACTGAGCTACCTGAGAAGCCCCAGATAATGCCAGTACTGCCAGTCCTGATACAACACTGAGAAACAAGAACCTAAATTCCAAATTTCTTAAGATAAGTCCTCCTTAAGTAGTAGTAACTGCAGGGCCTATCAACAATGTAAATGGTTTTAAATGGGTGGTTCATTCGCTTTGTTATTCAGTTCAGTTCAGTCACTCATTTGTGTCCGACTCTTTGTGACCACATGGACTATAGCAAGCCAGGCTTCCCTGTCCATCACCAACTCTCAGAGCTTGCTCAAACTCATGTCCATCAAATCAGTGATGCCATCCAACCAACTCATCCTCTGTTGTCCCCTTCTCCTCCTGCCTTCAATCTTTCCCAGCATCAGGGTCTTTTCTAAGGAGTCAGTTCTTCACATCAGGTGTCCAAAGTACTGGGGCTTCAGCTTCAGCATCAGTCTTTCCAATGAACACCCAGGACTGATCTTTAGGATGGACTGGTTGGTTCTCCTTGCAGTCCAAGGGACTCTCAAGAGTCTTCTCCAACACCACCGTTCAAAAGCAATAAGTTCTTTGGTGCTCAGCCTTCTTTATAGTCCAACTCTCACATCCATACATGACTACTGAAAAACCATACTACTGGAAAAACCATACTTTGACTAGATGGACCTTTGTTGGCAAAGAAATGTCTCTGTTTTGTAATATGCTGTCTAGGTTGGTTATAGCTTTTCTTCCAAGGAGCAAGCATCTTTTAATTTCATGACTGCAGTCACCATCTGCAGTAATTTAGGAGTTCAAGGCAATAAAGTTTGTCACTGTTTCTATTGTTTCCCCATGTATTTGCCATGAAGTGATGGGACCCAGATGCCATGATCTTAATTTTCTCAATGTTAAGTTTTAAACCAACTTTTCCCACTCTCCTCTTTCACTTTCATCAAGAGGTTCTTTAGTTCTTCTTCACTTTCCACCATAAGGGTGGTGTCATCTACATATCAGAGGTTATTGACATTTCTCCCAGCAATCTTGATTCCAGCTTGTGCTTCACCCAGCCTAGCATTTTGCAAGATATATTCTGCATGTAAGTTAAATAATCAGGGTGACAATATATAGCCTTGATGTACTCCTTTCCTGATTTGGAACCAGTCTGTTGGTCCATGTCCAGTTCTAACTGTCGCTTCTTGACCTGCATACAGATTTCTCAAGAGGCAGGTAAGGTAGTCTGGCATGTCCATCTCTTTAAGAATTTTCTACAGTTTGTTGTGACCCACACAATCAAAGGCTTTGGCCTAGTCAATAAAGCAGAAATAGATATTTCTCTGGAACTCTCTTGCTTTTTCGATAATCCAACAGATGTTGGCAATTTGATCTCTGGTTCCTCTGCCTTTTCTAAAACCAGTTTGAACATCTGGAAGTTCACGGTTCACATACTGTTTAAGTCTGGCTTGGAGAATCTTGAGCATTACTTTGCTAGCGTGTGAGATGAGTGCATTTGTGCGGTAATTTGAACGTTCTTTGGCATTGCCCTTCTTTGGGATTGGAATGAAAAGTGACCTTTTCTAGTTCTTTGGCCACTGCTGAGTTTTCCAAATTTGCTGGAACATTGACTGCAACACTTTAACAGCATCATCTTTTAGGATTTGAAATAGCTCAGCTGGAATTCCATCACCTCCAACTAGCTTTGTGCATAGTGATGCTTGCTAAGGCCCACTTGAATTTGCTTTTCAGCATATCTGGCTTGAGGTGAGTGATCACACCATTGTGGTTATCTGGGTCACGAAGTTTGTGTTTGTTATTTTTTTTTTAAGATCTTTTTTGTATAGTTCTTCTGTGTATTCTTGACACCTTGTCTTAATATCTTCTGCTTCTGTTAGGTCCATACCATTTCTGTCCTTTATTGTTCCCATCTTTGCATGAAATGTTCCCTTGGTATATCTCATTTTCTTGAAGAGATCTCTAGTCTTTCTCATTCTATTGTTTCCCTCTATTTCTTTGCACTGATCAATGAGGAAGACTTTCTTATCTCTCCTTGCTATTCCTTGAAACTCTGAATTCAGGTGAGGATATCTTACCTTTTCTCCTTTGCCTTTAGCTTCTTTTCTCAGCTATTTGTAAGGCCTCCTCAGGCAACCATTTTGCCTTTTTGCATTTCTTTTCCTTGGGGATGGTCTTGATCCCTGCCTCTTGTACAGTGTCATGAACTTCCATCCATAGTTCTTCAGGCACTGTGTCTATCAGATCTAATCCCTTGAATCTATTTGTCACTTCCACTGTATAATCGTAAGGGATTTGATTTAGGTCATACCTGGACGGTCTAATGGTTTTCCCTACTTTCTTCTTTCTCCTTTTGCAATAAGGAGTTCATGATCTGAGCCACAGTCAGCCCCCAGTCTTGTTTTTGCTGACCATATAGAGTTTCTCCATCTTTCACTGCAAAGATTTCAGACTGAAATCAATCTGATTTCAGTGTTGACCATCTGGTGATGTCCATGTGTCGAGTCTTCTCTTGGGTTGTTGGAAGAGAGTGTTTGCGATGATCAGTGCGTTCTCTTGAGAAAGCTCTCTTATCCTTTACCCTGCTTCATTTTGTGCTCCAAGGCCAAATTTGCCTGTTACTCCAGGTATCTCTTGACTTCCTACTTTTGCATTCCAGCCCCCTATAATGAAAAGGATATCTTTTGGGGGTGTTAGTTCTAGAAGGTCTTGTAGGTCTTCATAGAACTGTTCAACTTCAGCTTCTTCAGCATTACTGGTTGGGGCATAGACTTGGATTACTATGATATTGAATGCTTTGCCTTGGAAACGAACAGAGATCATTCTTTCGTTTTTGAGACTGCACCCAGGAACTGCATTTTGGTGGAAGCCAGATGTCTTTTATGATGTAGGCTTGTAAGTAATACATGGTCATTTCTGCAAATGAGATGATGTTACAAAGTTCAGCCTTGTTTAATGTAGCAGAAGACTGCAGCACTATGTCTACCAGGAACTCACTGGGGTCGTTGTGCAGGCTGGCAGCACAGGTTCAGTCAATCAAGCTTTAGGACATACACACATATTCTCACTCAAGGATTCCTAATGAAAGATTTCACCTTCTTAAACAGTGAGTACAATGATGTAATATGCCAGTGTTTTAACATTATTCTCTAAGGTTCTGTCCCTAAGTTGACAAAGATTATGGCTTTTCACGAGGAGTGGGGGGGGGGGGGGGGGAGAAGAGAAGTATTAATATTTTTGAAGCTGTTTCCTAATGTAAAAAGTCATTTTGTTCCTGCTTTTTATATTATTCTGTTTGAAGAATTTTATCCCTGATCTTCATAGAAGAATTAAGATGCAATCACTTTTCATAAGATATTTGCTTAGTGAATATGGCTTATATCAAGACCCAGCTGGCCCAAATTTAAAGATTTATTGGGGTGGGAAAAATTAGTTTCAGCATTATAATTCTAATGCAAACAAAATTTGGGAGTATTAGGTAGGCAACCGGAGAAGGCAGTGGTACCCCACTCCAGTACTCTCGCCTGGAAAATCCCATGGACGGGGGAGCCTGGTGGGCTGCAGGCCATGGGGTCATGAAGAGTCGGACTTGACTGAGCAACTTCACTCTCAATT